GCCTTCCCTGCCCTCTGGCCTCCCCACCAGCCTGCAGCTGTGCAGCTACCAGGGTCACCACCGGCTGCCTCCTCCAGCTGTGCTGTCGATTAGACCCAGGCTGAGAGAGGGGCTTGCCAAAGTCGGGCCCAGACCACTGAGCTTTTGATCTTGTGGAATTGCCTGCCTTAGAAGGGCTGGCTTTGAAAGGTCCATATTGGAGATGGCTCCATGCCATCCGGCAGCCGGGCGTGCAGGGGGCCGTGTGGAAATGACTCCAGAAGCCTGTTCCGAAGGGGAAATGTGGAAGACACGTCACTCTGGTTGGCAGCTTCTATCTCAGGGCCGCCGTGAACTGGGGAGAAATCCATGTCGCCCTCTGGGTCAGGCCACTTTCTAGCCAGCCCTCTCATGGTGAACACGGTCGGTGTGGCAGAGCCTGGCCCGTCTCCTTCCAAACCAGCCCCCTGCTCCACCAGCCACGTGGCACCCAGCTCTGCTTCTGGCTAGAGAGACACGAGAATGGAATCTGCCCTGGCAGGGCAAGAAACTGGGGTCCTTCCTCCATCCGGCCTCACCTCCTGGCAGCAGGAGATGCCGTCTGCGTCCCCCAGACCTCACAGATTGACTTCAGACCAGGGTCTAAGATCCCCTTGCGGTTGGGTTGAGAAGTACTCGGATGCAGAAACGCTTTTATCGCATTTACATCCCCTTGGGGAAAATCTTGTCCCTATAACTGGACTAAGGCCATAGGACAAAACTCAAGGCCTTTGCTGGGTTATGGCCCCCAGGGAGGGCAGTGTGTCAAAAGCCTAGTGTCTGGTCTGGAAGTCACCACTGTCCGTGGTGCTGAAGCATCAAAGGAGGAAGGAGCAGGGGCTCTAGGAAATCGCCTGAGTCTGGAACCTCTGGTTATAGAAGCCCCCCACGCTTCAGGTGGAAGCCGGGTGGCCCCCAGGCAGCACCAGCTCAACCACAGCCTCACCTGGGTGAAGACGTCCTTCAATGGTTTCAAGCACCTCAGAGACTTGAGTCTATTGTATGGGGATCTTTTCACAGTTTATCACGAATAAAATGACAGAATAAAATTAATCTCTTTGTGCCTCTTCCTGATAACTTTTCTTTTTTATAAATCAGAAGAACAGAATAGAGTGGCTGAGTTGGTATTCTCTTCTCAAACTTCCCAATTGTTCATTTCGAACTTCGACACACACCACAGAGCTTACCAACTTTGGAATCGTTCCTGGGGCAGATGTTAGGAGTGAAAGAGGACATCAGCTACCTCCCTGTTGACCTCAGTCGGTACTTTCTAATTGACTAAGTTCTTCTTTCCAGCTTCTCTCTTAACTCAGGCCCTGCGGGCAAAGCATCCCGTGATGGGGACCGAAACTGCCCTCTCTCAAGCAATCAGGACTGCCCTGAGCCAGCAAGACCCCGCGCGATTGACCCCAAGACAGTGATCAACTTGGCCTTCACTGCCCACCTGTGTGTACCCACCGGCCTTTGTCCCACATTCTCCTTACGCAAATCTGGAAGTGTTTTCAGCACTTTGGAGACAGCCTTTGGGACGCTAGTCCGCTGTCTTCCTGGTGCTGGCCTCACTGCAATAAATTCCTTGCTTGTTGCACCTCCAACTCATTTGTCTGCCTTTGGATTTTGTCAGCGGCGAGTGGTCGAACTGGTCTGTTTGGGACCCCTAGAACCACCCTTGCGCCCCAGCTTCCAAAGGACAGGGCTGGTCCTGCAGTTGAAGGGGGCTCCTGATGTAACCCTAGTGGCTACATCCGGGCTCTTTCTCACAGGTCTGTCTAAAAATTCCTTCCATCCTCTGTCAAAGTGGAGGCCAGTTTATGTATCACTGCAGATCAGGTTTTGTCTTTAAAGAGTGTCAGTGTATCCACCAGCCCCCAGGTTCACATGCGTTTCCCACCAGGCACGGCCGCATAGAGGCGTATGTAGTACAGCTGTATTAAATACTTTCAGCCTGGTAGCAAAAAAATTAGGACCGTCTTCCCCCCCCCCCCACCCCGTGTCTTAATGTCTCCGCTTCAGCAGGTGTGCTCAACCCATCCAAGCATATACACTCAAGCCATGAGGTTTGATCCCTATACATACGTGTTATTTTTATCAAGGAAAAGCATCCCCTGACAGTATCTGATGGATACATTCACGCTTCATTTCCTCATTCAGCCAGAGTGTAGAGTTGCACGCCCTGTGCCAAGCACTGTGTTGAGGCCTGGGGGCCCAGAGACGGCCGGGGCTCATTCCACTAACGCACAACCTCTTCCACAGGGCCTGATGCGAGGTACTCAGTAAGTGTGGGATGAAGGGATGCTGTTGCTCTAAGAGGGAATATGGGTGGTTCCCGGAGAGCCTTCTCTGCTGCTAAAGAAAACGTGTCAGATCCCCTGTCTTCCCCTCCTCCAAGAGCTCAGAACTGATGCTGACAGTGTTTTGGTCACAGTAAAACCCAGAATGCCTGCAGGTGTTCTGCACCTTCTTGTAGTCACCTGAGTGATGTCCTGGCACCTGCACATAGGTCTGCTGCCCTGGGGCTGAAGTGGGGGGAGGGGGGGAGGGGCAGTGCACCTTACCCTTAAGAATGTAGGCAGAATGACAGTCTTTGCCCTTGGGCTCAGGGCTGTGGCTTTGGCTGTTCAGCCAAACCGCAGGACCCCAGCCTTTTCAGCAGCTGACATGTTCAGAGACTGGTTCTCTCATCATCAGGCAGGTGGTCCACACGCAGAGTCTGTCGGGAGATTCTCCACAGGCTTCTTTGCTGACTGCGGAGACCTTCCCGTGTGATTCCCATGAGCCTGTCCTTTTCTTTTTTTTTTTATTTTTTTTTCAACGTTTTTTATTTATTTTTGGGACAGAGAGAGACAGAGCATGAACGGGGGAGGCGCAGAGAGAGAGGGAGACACAGAATCGGAAGAGCCTGTCCTTTTCTACTGAGCCCTCTGTCTCTCCTCCACCTTTGACCTGAGTCTCTAACTCTTAGGCAGAGTAACAAGGGTGAGGTCTCTCCAGCACCTTTGGGTAGCAGGAGTCTAGCTTACAGAAACTCCTTCTGGTAACTGCCAGGTCACTGGCCAAGGGTCGTTCAGGTTCAAAGGGTGCTGTGTGTTTTGTGTGAAACCAGGTTCTCAAGCATATCACCGTTTCTTTTCCTCTTGACTTACACACACACCCTGTGTTCTTCTTACTGTGCCTTTTAAAGTAGCAATAAATCATCCCCACAGCTTGCCGGTTAAGAGGTTTCTCTCCAGGGGACTCTACCCTCCTTTTTTCCTTGAGTACAAGTTGCCTTTATGCAGATGAATCTTAAATTGGAAAATCTACAAATAAGAAAAGTGTCAGAGCACAGTCTCTTTCTTTTATTACTTCAGCCATTGTGAAGCACTTGTCCCCCAGAGGTTGACTTTTACACCCTAGAACAAAGATCAGCAAAATCGCACAACTTGATTCTTGGGTAATCTATGTAAAGAGTGGTCTCTTAATAGGGAAGGGCAATTTTTTTTTTTTTTTTTTTTTTTTTTTTTTTGCTACTTTGAAAACGTTGCCCTTAGGGTAAGTATATAGCCACTGAATTTTGAATGGATATTTCATCACCCTGTGATTTCTTTTCTTGCCCCCATCCCACCTCCCACCTCACATCAAGCTTCCTTAAATGCATTCTTTTTCCTGGGGGGAAAAACAGTGACCCATTGTTTTCACCTGTGTGTGTGTGTGTGTGTGTGCTTGTTGTTTAGAAAGCAAAGCTCGGCCCTGCTGGTAACAAAGTCATCACTCCTTCAGAAGACAGGAGACAACCTTCCAACAACCTTGACAGAGTGAAACTCACAGACTTCAATTTCCTCATGGTGCTGGGGAAGGGGAGTTTTGGAAAGGTGAGGGGGCAGTTGTCTGGGGTGGGGGGCGGGGCGGGGCGGGGGAGGCTTTTGCAGAGAATGCTGGGATTCATCCTGGGCCCCCTGAGGTTTCTAGAACAGCCCTGGAGATTCCCCTGGTCTCTGTACCTGTTTCTTAGATGTCCCCCGCCCACCCCCACCCCCACTTAATGTCTTTAAAAACAAATATATCCAAAATGCTACAGAGAGGGAGCGCCTAGGTGACTCAGTCGGGTAAACCTCCAACTTCAGCTCAGGTCGCGATCTAATGGTTCATGAGTACAAGCCCTGCATCAGGCTCTGCAGTGACAGTGCAGAACCTGCCTGGGATTCTCTCTGCTCCTCTCTCTCTCTCTCTCTGCCTCTCCCCTCCCTTTAAAAATAAATAAATAAACTTAAAAAAAAAAAAGCTACAGAGGGTTCACTGTATGTTACCATTTCAGGGTTGAGAACAAAGCAGGTGCTCCAAAATGTTAGCTGAATGATTAATTTTCACAACTAAAAACGAAAAGTTGATTTGTAGTAAGTGAATGTAATAAGAGATGCTGAACTGGGTTTCTTCAGTGATCAACCTATATGACCACATTTGGCTTCTCTGGCCCCAAATCTCATGGTAGATCCAGGAAGCGATTTCCATCCTGCCTTTTTCTGTCTTGGCTCCTGACTCGTGAGAAGCTTATAAAGGTCAGTCCCATTTTTGTACAAAGGATGCTCCTGAAAAGTGTGCACCCTTCAAGACTAATGCTGAGGGCCGTGTACGTTCCTTTTAGCAGACACAGTAGCGCCATCATGGGGCCATAGCCTACACAGGGTGCAAATCCCAACAGTTTCTAAATTACACAGGGCTGGAGGAATTTAATCTACACTGACATGCAGTATCTCAAAATTCACACACAAAACGGAACTTCATGAATGTGTTTGTATCACACATTTATAAACTTGCACAAACTAGAACAGTCTGAGTGGTCACCCAGTACCAGACATAGGGTCAGAGTTTTCAGGTTGCCTTCCGTCTGCTCCCAGGTGATGCTCGCTGACAGGAAGGGGACAGAAGAACTGTATGCCATCAAAATCCTGAAGAAGGACGTGGTGATTCAGGATGACGATGTGGAGTGCACCATGGTGGAGAAGCGAGTCCTGGCCTTGCTCGACAAGCCCCCGTTCCTGACACAGCTACACTCCTGCTTCCAGACGGTGGTAAGGACCCTGGGAGAGTGCACCTGTGGCACGACACACGGCATGTGCTACCAAGGGTGACCCCGAACCAGAGTGTTCTAAGCGTCTGAATCAACCTTACTCCAGTGGAGAAAGCCGAAGAAGGGCATAAGCTGAGAACAACCTCCCATTGTTGCACCACCGGTAGCTTTGGGGTGTCCCCTCTCTGGGATGTGCCCTACTGAGAGGCGCAGCATTAATGCTGTTGAATTCAGCAGACATTTGCATGAAAGGTTTTTGTTATCCCAGGCACTGTGCTAGGACCTAAGGATACAAAACCAATAAACTAACTCACGGTCCCGGCTTTTTAAGGCTACTGATCAGTTGCCAAGCATAGCCACGGAACATTAGGAAACTTGATCTCCTGAAAGGGTGTATTCTTATTTCCTGCACACAGCAGGGTGGGCCATCTGGTCTGTTTTGCACAGCCCATGAGTTCTAAGAAAGGTTAGAGAGGAAAGAAACCCACAAGGAATGATATTTTGTGACATGCGTAAATTAGATGAAATTCACATTTCAGTGGCCATGAATTGTTTTCTTGGAACACAGCCACATTCCTTCATGTTCTTACATCCACGGTGGCTCTCAGGCTATGAAGGCAGAGTAGAATAGTTCCAAGACCCACACAGAGCCCGAAGTATTTACTGTCTCTAGCCCTTTACAGAAAGTTTGCCCAGCCCTATCTTCCAGGACAACTAAAAAGAGGACAAAACAAGTTCCAAAACGCTGATCAGCCAAGCTCCTGGCATGGAGCTTGCCAGTGCCCTGCAAGAAATACAAACTTTTTTTGTGGCACCGAAGACAGGCTTTCTACTCCTCAGTGGCTGCCCTTGCTAAGATATGACTCAGTAATAAGTGGCTATAATTATTACTGTTAGGAGTTTAATTATTTTCAACTTCCTTCTGGCCAGAAAATGACTTACCATCTTAACGTTTCTCCTTAAAATCCCTTGGCCAGGGAGGGAAGAGCGATGTGCCAGAGAGGGGTCCATGTCTCCGAACCCCGGCCCAGGTCCCGTCCCCCTGGTCAGGACACTGGTAACACTGTTTAAGCTCTGGAAAGAAACAAAACATAGAAATAAAGATGGAGTTAAAATTCCTAACAGGAAAGCTAGAGATAGAAGCTTCTGGAGCTGTTTCCCGGCTGTCAGCAGCCACTTCATCATTTTGTCCCTCCCTGTGCAACACTTGAATGTTTCATAACCTCCGTGAAATGGCGATGATGTCTAGAAGCGAGCCGAGGTTGGCTTTCACCTGGGTGTGCTGTGCCGTTCAACCCTGGCTTCCCCAACTGCCTCTCTACAATGTCCTCATAAATACACAGAGTTCTATGATGTCCGCCCTCCGCGGGGCCGACACTTAGCACGCCAGTGACAGAAAATAAGAAACAATGTTTGGGCCTGTTATGGATGCAAAAGAACATTTGGTTAGCCTCTCCGGTTATAGTTCCCTCCCCCACAGTATTGAACATTTATAATTTAGGAGCCCAACCCAGCTCATGAGATTTGTTTCCAGAAGCATCCCGTGAGACATATGACTGCATCACTGTGGCTTGCCCCCCAGACACTGCAAACCAGAAACACCAGTTAAAAGTCAATAATCGGCCCATAAGGATTCTTCACAGCATCCGTTAAACGTGCAGTATGTGTGCAGGAGAAAGGGGAAGAGCGTGTGAGGCCATTACTGTAACAGGGAGCATACGGAACCAGAAGGGGGCAGACATGTTGACAGAGGGCCATTATTTCAGAGTTACATAATGACTTTATACTTCCCAAGGCCCTCGTGCGCTAGGGTTCATTACGTATTTTTTATCGGGGAAAAAAAATCTCGAAGGGCTCGGCTCCACTGATCAGCTCTGCCAGCATGGCCCACAGTTTGTTAACTAATGCGAAAGCCAAGCAGAGTCTGGAAAGAGTGAAGGAAGCCTCTCGGCCCGTGGCCAAGCCCTGCTCACATGTTGAACCTTGGTCTTCAGGATCGACTGTACTTTGTCATGGAATACGTCAACGGTGGGGACCTCATGTACCACATCCAGCAAGTAGGAAAATTTAAGGAACCACAAGCAGTGTGAGTATTTTTTTTTAAGTCCCTTAATTCAGACAGTTCAAATGTGGAAGATGGGGCTTTGCCACTTCGGAGTTGAGCACTGGAACCTCCCAGGGGGCAGACTTCTTGGCTGGGTCCATCTATGCGCTTCCAAAGGAGAGGTTTATTCTACTTCCGGTGAATTGGAGATGCTGATGTATCCTCCCCCCGTCCTCCAGTTCCACCCTCACTGATCGAGTCAGCCCCTTGCACACCCACGATGCATCAGGCACTGGGATGTGAAAGGCTTTCTCTGCCCTCGGGGAGCTCACCGCCTGACATGGAGTAGAAGAGGTCTCTGGACAATTGTCATGTGTAGCCGTCACTTTAGAAGCAGCACAGATAACATGCAAGCCCTGATAAAGAGGAGAGTGAGGAAAGAACATCTTCAGGGAATGTTCTTGCCCAAGCCAGCGGGGCAGAAGACGGTTTCAGATTGGGTCGGGGGGGGCGGGAAGGAGCTCCCGATGATGAGTCCGGTGGAGCACCTGGCTGAGGACCACCGAAGGCTGTTGGGGGGCTCAGTGGGGCTTGATACCCTGAGGCTAAGTTTTCACAGAGCCCCGCTGACCAAGAGTGGAAGGAAGGAAGGAAGGAAGGAAGGAAGGAAGGAAGGAAGGAAGGAAGGAAGGAGGGAGGGAGGGAGGGAGGGAGGGAGGGAAGGAAGGAAGGAAGGAAGGAAGGAAGGAAGGAAGGAAGGAAGGAGCGAGCGAGCGTAGGGGCCGGTGCAAGGGGGTTGGTGAAAATCTGTGTAGAGGAGAGACAACGGAGCTTTAATTCAGTCTTGACCTTGGATCCAAAGAGGGGTAAGGGTCTTTGAGAAACAGTCTGGAGGAATAAGAAACCTCTTCGGGTGATACCTCATCTTCGGTTTGGGAGGGAGCAGCCGCCAAGGAGGAGAGGATCTGGGGGAGAACCGGGAGCTCCGCTTGGAGGGTTTCATCAGGGCCGCAGGAGTCAGCAGCGTGGGGGAGAGACAGGGGCTCCAGGGGAAGACAGAGAATTGCCCGTCTAGGCAGGGACTTTGATACATGAAAGATCAAACCATTTTTCCGGGGCCAGGAGGTCACAGGACACTCAGCAGAGGCAAATCTATACAAACAGCTATTTCCCTCAGCGAGGATGCATAGTGGGCACGTGCCCTGATTAATTAAGTTAGCAAATGTTAATGGGATTCTGGCCCATGTTCAGTCTAAAAGCTAAGTCTATAGAGTGTTTGGCCTCTGCAGGTTGGTTGATCTGTCTCAGGGAAGATGAACTGAAGGTAGAAGAGGGAATTCTGTGGTAACAAGCTTAAAAAAATGCAAAGGGAGGAGTGCCTGGGTGGCTCAGTCGGTTAAGCGACCAACTTCGGCTCGGGTTATGATCTCACAGTTTGTGAGTTCGAGCCCCGTGTCGGGCTCTGTGCTGACAGCTCAGAGCCTGGAGCCTGCTTCTGCTTCTGTGTCTGCCCCTCTCTCTGCCCCTCCCCTGCTCATGCTTTGTGTCTGTCTCTCAATAATAAATAAATGTTTAAAAAAAAATTTTTTTTTAACGCAAAGGGGGATTCTTTTTGTTTCTGGTTTTATTTTTTGCTTTTCAGTTTTCAGAAATGCCTGTCTTTATCTCCTCTCTCATTCTGGTACTTACAAAGCATTAAAATGCTCGGATTGTAAAGTAAAGCTTGATAACACAGAGCTGGAAAGAGCAAGTAGCAGAATAGCGACCTTAGGTTGCAAGGTAACATTAAGGGATCTCGTTCAGTGGCCTTAACATTGTATTTGAGTTCCTGGAAAGTGTTTATTTTCAAAATACAGGAAAGCATGAAAGATAATGTAAAAGTCGCCCCGAATCCCATCTCATTTCCCTCCCCCCATCCCGTCCTTCTCCTGCCGGAACTTAGGGGTGCCACCCCCACCCCCAGTAAGAGTTTGGTCCTTATCATTAGAGAGGTTGCTCTCTGCTTACTTTAAGCCTCCTGGGTGTGATGTTTGCACAGGCACAGTCTTCTGGCTTCTCAGACTTCAAAGATTCCTAAACACTCTGCAAATTTTAAAACCTCTTTCAGCATTTACCCTGAGTTTGTTATGAATTATTTAAAAGGGTAAACTCGAGTATGAATCACGGTGCGTGTGCCATTTATCTCAGCACTTGGGGCGAGGATGGGGGGGCGGTGAGTTCACCAGCTACAGGGTGCCTCACTAGGCACTGTCCACAAATAGGAAAATGTCAGTTTTCTCCACTCTACCCGAGCCCTGACACAAAATGCTGCAGCAGCCACTCTTTAAAAGATTGTATTCGAAATTTCGTTTAAGCAGTAAGTTACCTGTCCACCCACCTCGGACAAGAAGTGTTGGTTTCCAGACAGGTAATAAACCTGTCTCATTGACTCAGTAGCTGTAAAATGCCTCGGGAGGTTGGAGTGGTGAAACGGCAGAGGGAAGGGCAAAGAGTTAGTCACGGGTAGGGCCATGCTGATCTCGGAGCGTCCCGGGATCTTCTAACATTCTAGTATCTCTTTGATGCCTGAACTAGAAGGGTACGAAACATTCAGGAATCCAAAGAGCAAGCCAGAGGCCTGACCAGCATTTCCTTCTGCAGATTTTATGCGGCAGAGATCTCCATTGGATTGTTCTTTCTTCATAAAAGAGGAATCATTTACAGGTGCGTGCTGAATCCCTGCCCGCAGCACTGCGACGGACCCCTGCACCTCTGTGTGCGCGTAATTCTGTGGTGGGGACTTAAGACACGGAATTGCTACCCACTGAGGTAACAGAGACCTGCTGGGACCCGCCTTTGTCGGCAGCCTCCTGGCAGATCAGAGCCACTTTCTGATTTCCGGGTGTCAAAAGATTTTCTGTCTCGCTTCTGCTTCCCACAAGAAAACATGCTTCTTCCTCTCCCCTGGCAGCCCCTTCCTCTGCCCTTTTTTGGAACGGAGGTCAGGGAGCAATGGAAAACGAATTTCTGTTATAGATGCTCGGCAGGAAAGGAACATGGGGAGCTAGGGAGAGGCCAGGGGAAAGAAAACCATTGAATTAAATCCTTTAGGTTGTTATCTACAGTGAGAGTCTGATGCCAAAGAAGGAATTCTGGTGTTAATTGAAGAGTAAAAGACATACAGCAGAATGGAAGGGACACTTGTGTGACCCAATGAGGTTGTTCTAAACCTGTGATTTTGCAAACCTGGCTGTGCACCAGGCACCCCTCCTGTGGGATATGAGTAAATCATCTGACTGAGATCTGCCCAGATCTGCTAAATTAGAATCATGCTCAGCCAAGGTCGGGGATCACTAGTCCAACCATTCAGTCATTGATTCGATGTGCATTTATTAACTACCTACTGTGTCCTAGGTGCTATGTTAAGCTCTCTCTGGAGATTAAAAAAAGAAAAAGAAAGAGTTATTTCCTTGTCCCAGCTCTCCTGGGACCCATAGTTATATGCCATTGAGATGGTAGCTAGTCAAATATCCTTCGGTCTCAGTGGCTCCAGAGCAAACCACGTAGTGTCACGGGAAGGACGCTGATGCTGTCCTGCTTCCTTGCAGGGATCTGAAGTTAGACAATGTCATGCTGGACTCAGAAGGGCATATCAAGATTGCTGACTTCGGGATGTGCAAAGAGCACATGATGGATGGAGTCACAACCAGGACCTTCTGTGGGACTCCAGATTACATTGCTCCAGAGGTAGGGACCCCGATTCCCCTTGTTTTCTAGACCAGACCTTTCAAATAGCAAGTACAATCAACAGCCCCGCCGGGGCAGAGAATCATTAGTGAATCACTAGGTCAGTGAGCACAAAATGGACTAAACTGAACTAGAGCAAATTAGAAAACAAGTACGAGAGCTCGCCACACGGTAAGGATATGTCTCGTTTCGTGGAGCCGTGTTGTGTGGTAAATGAAATAGATTTCTTACACGGTCATGGTCAGAACAATTTAAGCTACACTGTTGGGCAGAGAAAGGGGGATCTGGCTCGTAAAAATGTTCTGCCTGGGAAAACTGGGTCAGAAGGTGGTTCCGATGATGGCTTTTTGGTAAAATCCAAGTGACTGGTTCTCTAAATGACACCCTGGAATCGATCAGGAACATTTCCGCGCGGTCGTAAAGGCAGTGGTTCCAAGATGTGTGTTCGCAACAGTGGCCACGTTGCTTCATCTTTGTTACGATACGTACTGAGTACTCTTCTTCCTGTTGTGAATCTTCCTACACACCAGCGACTGGGTGGGCTGTAACCCTGGGTCACTGTGTAGCCAACTTTCTGTCCCCACACACAGCCCTGTGGCTGCAACAGTTTCGTCCCAGCTGAGCTGCCGCGTGACAGAAAGTAACAAAGTCAGGTCATCCTTCCCTCTAGCAGAGCTCTCACGCTAGCTGTTGGCAGCTTGTGTGGCATTTATTTAACCTGTTGCCCCAAATGTTTATCTTAGAGGCAGTAGGTATCTTGAAAAAGACACGCGCGTAGGAATCAGCCCAGTGTGTGCTTCAGTCCTGACTCTCTTCTCTGCAGGCTGTGGGACTCAGGCAAGTCACTTAAGCTCTCTGCAGCCCTGTTTCCACAGCGGCAAGTTAGAGATTCTACACCTGTAGAATCGCTCTGAGGACAGAAATGCCAAATACGGCGTTCTGCACCCAACAGACCCTCGGTGGTAGCCAGGATTCCAAAAGGGAAGCTAAATTTTTTCCCCTTTGTTAAGTAAGAGCTTGTTTGTTTGTTACATGCCCAGACAGTGTGGAGACATAGACTTAGAACATTTACTCAGAAACTTAAATTCCCAACCACAAAGGTGACATATTATCTTGAGACATAACTTAGTGGGGTTTCCCCTCCCCCCACCAAAGAATTCATGCATCACGATCTCCAGGCATCACATGAGCTTGAAGTGTCATATTTTTCATACACAAAGAATGGGGAAGATCATACAGTAAAAATACAACTTCCTGATGCAGTGTTTATTCTGACACCTTCTGTGCCTGCTTCATTTAACACCCACCAGCTCCTACAAGAGTGTGGTGACAGGGAATGGCAGTGTGTTTTTAGGAAGAAAGGTGGTTTGAACTTCATCTCCATTAAGACCCAGTCTCTGCGATCAAACAAATAGCTTCCTGTGTTCAATAACACCTCAGCCACCTGATATCCCCGGGGATGACAGCCTCCCACAGAGATGAACCGCTCCAAACAATTGATGTTTGTTGTCTTTTTTTTTTTTTTCTAATGTTCTTCATTGTATTAGTTTCCTGTTGCTGCTACAAAGAATAGCCCTGCAGTTAGTGGATGAAAACAATACAAATTTATTATCTTAAGGCCCTGGGGGCCAGAAGTCTAGAATCAGTCTCACAGGGTCAAAGTCAAGTTGTTGGCAAGGCTAAGCTCCCTCCAGAAGCTCTGGGGTGGGGGAGGGGGGGTAGTCCTGTTGCCTTGCCTTTTCCAGTCTCTACGTGGCTACAGTCCATGGCATAGTGTCTTTACTTACCATTTCTGTCTTTTATGACCCCAACCCCATAGCCTCCCTCTCCTAAGGACCATTGTGATTACGTGGGGCCCACCCAGATAACCCAGGTTTGTCCCTCTGTCTCAGGATCCTTAATCACATCTGCAAAATCCCTTTTCCCAAGTAAAATTAACATATGCACAGATTCCGGATGCAGATGCACCCACCTTCGGGGAAGGGGACACGGCGGATCCCGCCACACTCATGATGGTGTCTCATCTAACTGTATTTGATAAACCCCCACTCTCCTCCTCAAAGTACACGTAAACATGCTTCTATAACATATCTTGGTAGCTTTGGAGCTTTTTTTTTTTTTTTCTTTTTTAACTTGTACTCATTGGTGTGTACGTTTAGTTCTGTGCAACGTGATCACGTGTATAGATTCAGTTCTCCAGCACCACAGTCAGGAGACAGTATGGTTCTGTCCCTTCCTAGGAACCTTTTACAGCCACGCCCACCTCCTCCTGTCCCCCCTCCTGTCCCCATCCCCACCTCCCAGCAACCACTCACCAATTTTCCGTCCCATAACTTTGTTATTTCAAGAATGTCACTCGAGGGAGTCGTACGGTATACAACCTTTGGAGATTGGCTTTTTCACCTGAGCCCTTTCTAGAACTGCAGTCATCCTATTTGAGTGCACCTCAGCCACCTGGGCAGGTTGCTTAAGTATCCCGTGCCTCAGTTTCCCCACCTGTGAAGTGGGGATAATAATGTGGACCTCATGAGGTCGTTGTCCGTAGCTCGGAGCGTTGTCTGCCGCGAGACGGGTTGGTCCTGCCGTGGTCATCGTTCGCTTGACTCATCCGCCACATTGCACTGGGAACCCCTTACGGTCTTCTGCACAGCCTCCCTCGGTGGTCCTCACGGCGCGTTTAGGATGAGGTGCCCGAGGCAGTGAGGGTCTGAGGCCACAGTACTGAGAAGTGCGTGAACCAGGCTTCACCATCAGGCTCAAGCTGCCTGCCGGCCGTCGTACTGCCCACGTCGTTAAACCGCTGCTCTGATCCTGGGTGATTCGTGGGCTCAGAGAGCACGCCACACACGTACCGTGCCAAGCAGGGTGCCACTGGGGTAGCGTATCCCACGGGGCCCTGTCCTTGACATGCCTTACAGCGTGGAAAACGTGACCCTCACGCCAACAGACCCCAAAGTCCGTGTTTAGATCCTAGTTGGCTTTCGTTGAAAAATAAGCTGAACCCCTTGGGGGGACTCACTGCACGGTAATTGTAGGTTGTCTTACCTTTTGCTGGCATTTTCCCCTCCGGGTCCAGAAATTCGGCATATTCGGCCGTAGGAAGAATCGCAGTGAAGACGAGGACCATCTAGGTTCACGGTTTCTGAATTTTGCTCAGAGGGTAATATAATCCCTGTCCTCTGTGTACATCTTTCTGTCAGGCAGGCGTAAAAATAATTATCTTCGATGGCATTTCCCTTAGTAGGCAAAGCAGAGGCTCAAATATTCATGACTGTTTGTTCAAAACCCTTGCAATGGATTAACATTGTGGCATCTCCTTAACCGGTGAAGATAAGCTAAGGCAGAAAGTGCCACTAACAGAGAGGACTCCTGACATTGAGCTGGACACCCACGGAAGGGGCACTAATCAGAAAATGATTCCTGCACCTGACGTTACCGGCACTCTCGGCCTCGGCATAGAGAGGATTCTCTGGGGTGGGCGCGAGCCCCTGAGAAGGGCGCACAGACGCGCCATCCGGATTTAATCCCCCACCTGAAAGTGAAGTCCCGTTGCAGGGTCAGGACCCCCCGGCAGCTCAGAATCGGACTGTGAACACTAGCACTGCCCACTGTTTCCTGGAAGAAAGAGGGGCGGCAGGGAAAGGGCTCGCTTCTGGCTGGCGGACCCCTGAGTACCCCGTGTGGGACTGTGCCACGCGGAACCCTCGCCGTGGCAGGGGCAGCGACCCACGACATAGTGACTACTCTGTACCAGACCCTCCAGCACATCTTCTGTTTTGTTGCGTTTTGTACATGAGCAGAGATGAAGTGACCCGCCCCGGGGCCACACAACAGCTGATAACAGGCAGAGGTAGGATTTGGACCTGAGACATTCTGACCCTAGAGCCCTGGTATTCTTTCCACCTGTGGCCCCACCCCCAGAGATCAGAGAAAACTCCCTTTGTCCGTCTCACCTGGAGTTGGGGACCGGAGTCACGGTTCTGTCTACCTGTGGTCAGTGACTCGGGGGGTGTATTCCTGCTGTTACAACTGGGCAGACCCCTGGGAAGCCAGGAGGGTGCCTGCTGAGTCCCTGGCAGGCTCGGCACGGAAAGGGGGCCCGCGAGGACCTGGGAGGGGCCTGGAGCTGGAGGCAGTTCGAAATGGGCCACGGCAACCCAGGAGAGACGTGGGGTGAGGGACGTGGGTGAGACGGCGTTCCCCTCGGCAAGAGCAGACGGCACCCCCGACGTGGCCAAGGGAACCGCAACAGTCTGTGGGCACAGTAGCCGGCCTACAGCCCGCCGGCCACAAGCAGATGTGCAGACTCCTGTGAGGGTTGGGGGCTGGATGAGGTCAGGGAGCCGGAGACCTATCCTAGGGGGCCATGGCTTCTCCTTCCATCCCTATGGGAAGGCCAGCCCTGTACTGCCTATGACAGCCACCAGAAGTCTGCATTTTTATGTAAAATTTGCCCAGTTGTTCAAAGTTGGGTGTAAAACGTATTAAGAGAGGGGCAGTTAAGTGTTTGACTTCTGCTCAGGTCATGATCTCACGGTTCATGGGGTCAAGCCCCACATCAGGCCCTGCACTGTAACAGCACAGAGCCTGCTTGGGATTCTCTCTCTCCCCCTCTCTCGCTGCCCCTCCCCGACTCGTGCTTTCTCTCTCTCAAAATAAATAAATAAACTTCAAAAAAGAAAAAAGTAAGAGCAATGGACAGAGGTAAGATTCAGCCAACGGGCCACCAGCTGTGACCTGTTCTGGAGGGGTTCAAGGGTCACATTTGGGGGAGCCACATTTTAGGAATGGGGGGGAAAAAGACCAAGGGGCATCCAGAGAAGCAGAAGAACTAGGGAGCCATAGGGCCTTAGACACTAAGGAAGGTAAGTGCTCACGAACTCAGAGATGGCCAGGGACGGCAGAGGTCAAGGAGGTGGGGGTGGGAGGGGATCTGGCCACAGGGAGCCAGCCGTCCCTAAGAGCATGTGGTGATGATGCAGCAGAAGCCAGATGACACTGAGTGGAGGGTGGGCGTCAGCCACCAGGCTGGAACCGTGTCTTAGGGGAACGTATGATAAATGATCAGGGGGATGGTGGATAGACGGTCACTCCCAGGGAAGCGAGGTGAAGGAGGCATCAGTAAGGCTGAGCATGTTTCTAGACCAGAGGGAACATGCTCAGAGCGAGGAAAAAGGAAGATAGAGGGTATGTGTGTGTGGAAGGGGGGTGGGTGGTGGGGAGAGAGCATCCCACAGGTCAGGAGGGAATGGGATAAGGAAGCAGGAGGAAGGAAGAACGTGGAAGTCATCCTCACCGGGAGGGGTAGGCAGGGACCTGGGGGCAGGAGGTGCCCTGCTCCGCTCAGTGGGGACAGCCGGTGACCCACACACATGCAGTAACTGCCCGGCAAGCCACAGTTCTCTGGGTGCAGGGGAACAGAGATTGCTGCAGGCTGGGGCCCATCCGGGGCCAGTCACCTGCACGAGCCACCTGAAGTGACCGAGTGGGAACAGGTGAGTGAGGCCAGAGAACAGTGTCAGAACAGGAGAGTTGGGACAAGGTTCAGTTGGGGGGGGGGGGTGGAGGAGAGTGACAGAAGGGCAGGACGCTGCCACGGGGGCTGAGGAGGGGGGTTCGTCTCTGAATTAGACCTCTTGAAGAAGCCGAGGTCCTCACGGTGGCCCGAGATCCTTTGTTGTCTGCGCCCCTTCCCTCCCTAACATCATCTCTCACCTCACCCTCCACCCCTCACCCCATCTCCCCAGACCAGCTGTACTGGCTTCCTTTCCGCTCCCCCAATTCGCCAGACCCTTCCAAGAGCTTTCGCTCTTCTCGTTCCCTCTACCTGGGATACCCTTCCCCCTTCCATGTGGCTTCCTCCTGCCCCTCAGCTCAGATGTCACCTGCAGGAGGCCGTCTTTCCTGGTGACTCTGTTTAAACCTGCAGACCTCCGGCCCCCATTCAGCACTCCTGCCCACCTCCCTGCTCTCCTTCCATGGTATTCATCACCCTCGGATACACCCTGTCAGGACTCCTGTGTGTGTGTGTGTGTGTGCGCGTGCGTGCGTGCGTGTGTGTGTGTCTGTGTGTCTGTCTGTCTGTCTGTCTGTCTAGCCCGCCCGGCCCCCTGTGGTAGAATCGCTGTGTTTTTTTTGCTGCGGAGCCCCTAGCCCCCGGGGTCTGGAGCAGTACCTGGTGGGTGGATTGTATCTGGGAAAAGCAGGTGCAGCATGCCATGTTCCTGCTGTGGAGGAGGGGCTCGGCCACAGAGCAGAGCTGAGGCTGTGGCACTGAGAGGTCAGGAACTCCGTGGCAGGTCATTAGGTGATTCCCAAGGCTGCCAGCAGGTGAATCCCAAGGTGATTCCCAAGAGCTGATGCTGGTGGCGCGAGACGGGCTGCAAGGGACAGCCACGTGCCTCACGTCCTCGACCCACGAGAGCTGGTGCACTGGGGGCCCCCGAGTGTCCATCAGCCTGGGTCCCCCAGACGGCCCAAAATGCCAGAATATCAACGCCCCAGGAGACACGTCCTGGCCTTTGGGGAAAGAGTTGTAGAACGGGATGGAGATTAGAACGGGTCTGATGGTTAAATGAGAAAAGAACTCACGAGGTGCACGCAGCCAGGCAGTAAATTAGGCCTTGCGCAGCAGAGAAGAAAGGGAGGCAGTGAGAGAGGGAGAGCAGCCAGTTGGCACCAGCCGGGGCGCCTCCAGGATCGGTGCCTCCGAGCCCGGCCCCACGCCACACCAGCGAGCCGAGAAGTGCTTCATTAAAGGAGAATGATAAGCCGAAGGGTGGCTGGCTTGCTTTCGGGGGCCGGTGCCCCCTCTGTGCAAGGTCACGATCCGATGCCTCCGGCTTTGCAAAAGAACATGAAGCAGCCGCCTTCCCTCCAAGAAATATTTAAAGAGCCAAGACCAGGCTTTCCCTTGGGTGGTTCTTCTTAAATTGTGTGACTGTTCTCATCCTTTCCAGGAATTATGCTGGTTATATCGTCTCACATATGTCATCTGCCTGCAGCTCTGTCTCTTAGTTCACCTGGCCTCAGGGTTTTATCAGCGTAGCCCTGTTCTCCGGAGCACTTGGCCCCCTCTGTGACATTGTGGTCCCCGAGGCCTCTGCGGGCCCCATCCTTCTTCCCGACTTCCTTCTGGTTCTTCCTCGAGATAAGCCAGCTTCTCGTGGGTTAGCTAGACCCAAGGCAGAGCGCCTCGCTGATTCTGTCTTCCATTTAAGTCAGCTCTACGAGGTTGGTGTCAGTGGCTCTGTTTTCCAGTTGATGAGCCCAAGGTGCAACGAGATGCGGTCATTGTTTCCTTCGGCCCCAATTCAGGGCAGACCTGGGCTTGAACCCAGGGCCGGTCTGCTGCCCCTCGTGGTGGCTGTTCTCCCCAGAGAAGGGGACTGCAGAGGTTGGCTCAGGTGTACCCCACGAGTGCCTCACTCCATCACTGCGAAGAAGCTGCCCTCAGTCCCCAGACTTGTTTGCAGAGCCCTCATGGGGTTCCCCATGTGCTGTGGCTGCATTCATTGGCCTTTCATTCGGGGAGCTGTTAAAATCCTGTAAAAACAGGGGCGCCTGGGGGCTCAGTCGGGTAAGCGTCCGACTTCAGCTCAGGTCACGATCTCCCGGTTCGTGGGTTCGAGCCCCGTGTCGGGCTCTGTGCCGACGGCTCGGAGCCTGGACCCTGCTTCATTCTGGGCCTCCCTCTCTCTCTGCCTCTCCCCCACTCATGCTCTGCCTGTCTGTCTCTCTCTCTCTCTCTCAAAAATAAACATTAAAAAAATTTTTTTAATAACAATAAATAAATAAGTCCCGTAAAAATGGGTCAGAGATTTCTGACATTTTATTTCACCTCTTACTTTGCAGTGGAGGGGGGCGTATCTTGAGAGTGATGACTGACACCGACTCATTCCGTCCTACGTACTACGCGCTTATGTCTGTTGTCCTGCTGAAACCTTACACTAGGCCTCTGAGGCGAGTGGTGTTACCCCACTTTTACAGACAAGGGACAGGAGACACGGAGAGGACAGGTGACCTGCCCAGGCCTCATAGATAGTAAGTGGCAGGGCAGGGACCCTGGGCCATCAAGGGCGGATCGGCTGCCCTAATGCCATCAGTGGCCAGGTTCCACCCTCAGTCTGTCGCTTACTGCCCTGTTACCAAATGCCTCTAGAAAGACCACCAGACTGTGAGACCTCCCCATTCTCGGGAGTCTTTTATTCCAACTAATAAAGCTCCCACGGGCACAGGATTGATTCCTAATTCCTAGGTCATTCCTTTACTGCACAAGTAGTTATTTTGTTCAGATACACAGTGAACATTTGGAACAGCTCCCTGTTCAGCAGAGAAGGCCTGAGGTAGGGAGGGTCCCGCGTGGGCACCAGGCTCTGGATCTTGTCTGATTCCCCAGCACCAGCCACCCCCGTCCACCGCCCTGAGAGAGACCGGTGACGGGTGCCGTGACTGAGTTTGAGAAGCACTTGGAGGGGGACTAGCAGGCAGGTGACAATACGTTTGATTCTGGACTGATTCCTCTTTACTGTGTTTTGGCCCCATGCAGACCGTCCACCCCTGAGGGGAAGCTTCCTATTTGATTTCAGGTGGCTTTTTCTGCAACATTGTATAGTGAGCTCTCGCTGCAGTTCTGTTCTTTTAAGAACATGGGGTGACATCTGTAAAATGGGGATCATCACAGTATCACCCTCAGAGTATGACTTCGAAGATTACGTGAGTTTTGCCCTGGCTGCCTCAGTGGAAGCCCTCCATACATTTTTTTTGGTCTGTTATTTGACAGTTGTTTCAATTATCCGTTGCTGTTGACTGCCCCCAAACTTCATGGCTTAGAACAACAACCATGTGAATGCTGTGACTCTGTGGGTCAGAACCTCAGGCAGGACTCGGCAGGCCTGACTCCTCACTGCTTCTGGGGGCATTGGCTACCACGGCTCTGTGGCCCTGGAGAATCCAAGTTGTCCTTGGGCTGTTGGCCGTTGGCCACGGCCCCATGGGTTCTCCTCTGTGTCGTCTGTCTTTCCATGAGATCTGTCACTATTGAGTAGTTTATCCGGAGCTTCTCAGCACGGTGGCTGGTTCCCAAGAGGGCAAAAACAGAAGCCATAAGTTCCCTTAAGCAGCACCTGGAGCTTAACTGTGTCCCTTCAACCACACCCTGTAAGTCAAAGCAAGGCCCAGAGCATGCCCAGATTCTAAGGGAGGTGCTATAAATTCTATCTGTTGGTGGGAGGGGTGGCATTGTCACCCTGAGGGGGGATGGGAGGGGTCACTGTGGCTTTTGGAGGCAGCTGGTTTTGAGCTCTGTGTTGCCCAGTGGAAGCTCCTCAATACAGCACTTGGCAAGAGTATCTCTCAAAGGTGCTGAGGGACCCAGGGGTCCCTGCCCTGTGTTTTAGAGCTGAGATCAGCAGACTTCTTCTGCTAAGGGCTAGAGGATAAATGTTTCAGGCTTTGAGCTTTCCAAGAGGCAAAATTGAGCTGTTCTTGCCAAAAGGCTGGTAGTCTTTTTTTTTTTTTTTTTTTTTTTACATTTTTTTCGTTTTGCATTTGTTCACAGGCAGGTCGTACACAAACGGGAGTAGGCCGGAGTTGGCCCGCAGGCTGGAGGTTGCCACCTCCGCCTTTAGAGGGTTCTCCCCTGGCCCTCCTCCAGCCTTAGCGCTCCGCATAGGGTTAGAGGTGCTGTAGGGCTTGGGGGACATGCCCCTGGGGACCTGGGAACTCCCTTCCATGACCTACACGGGCCTCTCTCTAAGATCCATTTTTCCTAGGGACACTGCCCTGACTCCTGTATACGATGGAGAGGCCAGTGGTGGCTGTATACAGGGGACAGGAGGACAGAGCTAGGACGTGCAGGTCAGGGTGCACAGGGTCCTCATAGATGTGACAAAAGACTAAGAAGAGAAGTGGGTGGAATCTAAGGGGTCCAGCCTGCCCCCCAGGCAGTTGAGAAGCATTATGGACCAACTTCTGTCCCCACAAAACCCAGGCTGCTCCCTAACCCCCCATGTGACTGTATGCAGAGATATAGGGCCTTTAAGAATGTAGTTAAGGTTAAATGAGGTCCTTCAGAGTGGGGCCCTGAGCTGATAGGACTGATGTCCTTACAGAAAGGCCAGGAGACAGCAGAAGCGCACCCTCACGGAGGAAAGGCTGGGTGAGACACCTGGAGGAGGAGGCTGGCTGTAGCCAAGGAGAGAAGGTTCCATGAGACAGCAACTGTGCCAGCAGGCACCTTGGTCTTGGATGTCCAGCCTGCAGACCTATGAGAAAACGAATGTGATTTAAGGCAGTCAGTCTGTGCTGTTCTGTTCCGGCAGCCTGAGCTGACCGATACAGGAAGACATATTGATCAAGGTGGTAGGAGAGAACGTGTAACCGTTGGTTTGTAACATGCGTATTCAGACACTTGTTCAGTATGTGGGCCTCCGTCACTCTGTCCCAGTGTCCCCTGGCATCCCCCAAACGTCAGAGGTGGACCCATCCTGGGCCAGTATGGAGTCCTGCATTTAGGCCAGGTAAAGCATGTCATAAACCAAGATGTATTTTATATAGTCACGGTCAACGTCATCGTCTCTCTTATGACGCAAAACAGGCAGGAGGAACGAATGAAGGTCTCAAGGTCAAAGGCAGTGTCTCAGATGACCTTGTCCCATTCCCAGCTCCTGCTTGCAGAGGAGAGCAGGAACACAAGAGCCAGGCTGAGTCCGGGCTCTGCTGTGTTCCCACTGTGTGTCACTGCACCGGAACTTGCTTGTGCCTCAACTTCCCCAGGGGCAAACAGTAGTGCCCGGCACAACGTGGCCTAAGGACTGTGCTCGGGGGTAGCTCTGATTCCAGTTTGGCCTCTATTAGAGTTAGTATCAGGATGTATCTCACTGTTGAGAAGGTTCTTGAAAACATCAGGTTGGGAGGAGAGTGTCTAAAGAGGTGTTTGATTTCTTCGGCATAACAAGGGATTATAGACGTTGTGCTAAAGAGGTCAGGTGACCAAGTCAATTAGGCGGACGTGTTCCCAGACTCGTTTCATTGTCACCGCGCTGATTTCTTCTGTGACCAGCACGTGTTACCAAGGAGCTAGAGAGAGATTAGCCCAAGCAGGAGATTAGCGTTTCCTGGGAAGAATCACAAAGACTTGAAGCGGGAACACTTTCCCACGTGTAATTAATTCAGCATGAATGCCTGCCTCAAGGGTCACAGATCACCTGCCACAGCTCAGTAGCACGCATCCCAGAGGGAAAGAGATGCCAGGTGCAGGGGTATTTCTTTGCAGCACTGGAAAGGCGGGCACTTCATTCACAATTTCACTTGCGGCTCCCTCAGAATCGGCCCAGCCACTTTGGAAGACAGTCCCGCAGTTTCTGACAAAGCTAAACATAGTCTTCACCATACAGTCCATCAGTCGTGCACCTTATGCAAACTTCCGCGTAACTTACGTCCGCACAAAGCCTGCACACGGAGGTTTGCAACCACTTTATCCACAATTGCCAAAACTTGGAGGCAACCAAGGTGCCCCTCAGCAGGTGAACGGCTAACTAAACCGTGATGCAGCTACATAATGGAATATTATCCAGCCCTAAAAAGAAATGAACTGTCAAGCCGTGAAAAGACCTGGAGGAACCTCAAGTGAGTATCGCTACGTGAAAGAAGCCGATCTGAAAAGGGTGCACGGTGTATGATTCTGCCTCTATGACACAGTGGAAAAGGCAGAGCTATGGAGACAATATAAAAGACGAGTGGCGGCCATGGGTTAGCGGAGAAGGAGGCAGAACAGATGGCCCGGGCAGTGAAATTGTGTTTAATACTACAGTGGCCAATACATGTCACGATCCGTTTTCAAAAACCCGTGGAATGCACAATGCCAAGGGTGAACCCCAGCTAAACTCTGGATGAGGATAATGTGACAATGTAGTTTATCCGTTGTAACAAACCTACCACTCTGGTGAGGGCTATTCATGGGGGGTGGGGGGGAAGACTGCACGTGTGTGGATGGAGTATATGGGAACCCTGTACAGTCTGCTCAGTTTTGCCGTGACCCTAAAACTTCTTTTAAAAATGTATTAATGGGGGCATCTGGGTGGCTTAGTCTGTTCAACATCCAACTCTTGATTTTGGCTCAGGTCATGATCTCATGGTTCGTGAGTTCGAGCCCTGCATCGGGCTCTGTGCTGATAGCTCAGAGCCTGGAGACTGCTTCGGATTCTGTGACTCCTTCTCTCTCTCTGCCCCTCCACCTCTCATGCTCTGTCTCTCTCTCAAAAATAAACATGAAAAAAAAAATTTTTTTAATTTTATTAATTAAAAGATAGATAGCTTCTGGTCTTTCTCTGTAAATGAGAGTCAGGGATAGACCTGGGAAGGGGGTCTGTAATCACCAGGCTTGGTCTCCCTCCAGGCTTTGCTTCTTCCTCCCTCCCTCTTTCCTTCCTTCTTTCCTTCTTCCTTCCTTTCTTCCTTCCTTCCTTCCTTCCTTCCTTCCTTCCTTCCTTCCTTCCTTCCTTCCTTCCTTC